GTGTGTGTGTGTGTGTGTGTGTGCGCGCGCGTGCGTGCGTGCGTGCGTGCGTGCGTGCGTGTGTGTGTGCGTGTGTGAGGAAGAGTGTAGGACTGTTTGAGGATTTGCTGAATCCATGCAGCGGCTGAGATAAGAGTGCGTCGCCCATCTCACACTGGGTTACTGTGCTCTCCCAGCTAATATACTGCAGTGCCATGTGTGTGTTTTTTTTTCACGTGGCTGTATCTCTGTTTGTCCCGTTACAGATTCGTGCCCTGTGTTGTGCAGCGGTAACGGCGTTTATGAGAAGGGAAGGTGTGTGTGCCTGACCGGTTGGAAGGGAGCAGAGTGCAATGTGGAGGAAGGTCAGTGTATCGACCCCACCTGCTCCAACCACGGCTCCTGCTTGCACGGCATCTGCATATGCAGCCCAGCCTACAAGGGAGTAAACTGTGAACTGGGTAAGACAGTAACACCTAAACAGTTGCACTTTTTCAGCCTCATGACTTTTATAACCTTGGCCCCTTTCAGGGTTGTTTCAGAATATGTTGCAAAAATAATGTCACTGATCCTTTTTGGTAATGCAAACAAGAATGACAGACCCGAGGTACTTTGACACAATACTTGTCCCTTTTAATTGATAAGAAATGTCTTGAAGTGTTAACAACCCTGCCAAATGTGTGTTTTAGTGCTTTTAAAATTTGCCACATCTATCAAATGGTCGGTATAAACAAACTAGTGATGAAATGGTCAAGGACCGATTGGTTTTATTCAAGTTTGATTTCAACACCATGATTACGTTATCGCAACTTGTAATCATTTACTTTGTATTGCCAAAATCATAACATGATTTAGTCATTCACATTGTTTACAGAAATAAAAAATAAACTACGGTACCATTGTTGAAATCGTTGGGAAGTTTACTTACAGTGACTGATGACCCAGAAAATTAACTGAATTGAAAAATCAATTGGTTTCCACCTGAGTGAACATCAAATCTATTACCAATGGTTGGAAGTGTGTTATTGCAAGAAAAATAAAATGGCTGGAAGTAGTTTTGTTTATTTTGAGAATGTGTGGCAGGGGGAAAAAAAATTGAGTTTGCTCCAATTACCAAAAACAATTAACTTTCCTCAGCCAAAGTTTCCACATTCCGCCAACAAACACCTGCGCACTTTACATATAGGCACGTTATGTTTGATTATCATAATTGTGTAAATGAGTTGGATTGACATTCTACCTTGTGGTAAGTGGCGGTAAATGGTCCATGAAGTTATTCGCATGTCGATCAGTTTGATATTAACTGGAGGATATAAACATAAATTCCGTTTGTGTATGATTGCAATTATCCTCACCGCGTGGGGGCGAGGGTGCAGGAGAATTGAGGTTAGGTTGTGTATGTGTTTTGGTTTTCTGTAAACTGCTGTCATCAACCCAATTTCCTGCCCCAGCTGGCAGCCATTTACAGCCAGTCCTACATCAAACAGTACTTGTGATGACTTGCTGTTTGTGATGGCAGAAGTTAAAAAGAGTAAGAAGTGCACATTTCTTTACCTATAGTACAAAAATATGCCAGACATTTTTTTGCCGATTCCAAATCGAGCACAACTGCATTTCTTCTGTACCTCACCGTCACTGACACTGTTGTCTTCATTTGGCAGAGGGCAGACGTACAATTCTCTTGTGAAGAGTCCGGGAGGCGAGCTTCATGAATAGATGTCGACTTTCAGTCTGGTGGAGAAACCTTCTTTAAAGACCATTTCTATATTTAAAAATTAATGTAGAATGAAAGGATGCAACATTAATTTCCAGATAAATTATAAAGTACTGCCACCAACACCAGCATAAAACTGGTTAACACGCATTCACCACGACAGTAATGCACTTGTAAAAATGCTAGTGCTAATGCTAATGCTAGTGCCATTAGTTCAATATGCTTGTGTGTGTACATATTAGGGGCTGGACTTGCACCTCAAATTCACAATCACTGTTAGTTTTACATACAAATATATATATATATACTTGACACATGTTTGTGTGTGCTTTATTTTCTTTTTAATATTCCAAACACATTTGTAGGCCGAATGACTAACACTATCATGACATGTTTTCTTGTCGTCGTCCAGTTTAGTTTGGTGAATGAGGGTTCCAACACGTGGAGTGTGGTCAGTCTACGGTAGCGTGACATCATAAACAAGGGCAAATACAAATGATGCAATGCTTCATTCACCCTAACATTAGGTGACATAAACAATATCAATGTGTTGCACCTTTGTCCTGAACCATAGTGCTTGCTAAACGCTACGCTTTGCTGACATTCGCCTGTGCAATTGTTTCTTTGCATTTGAAGTGCAAGAGAAACTGTGGCAGCACGTTTGTCTCTCCTTTGCTCAGTATACAAACAGTATATTAACAAGGATATAAATCATTCCATATTTGAAGTTCAGGTAATGATTCCTAGCTGTGACATTCCATTGCGTAAGCACAGTGGGCTAAAAATATGACTCAACATCGAAAATATTGTATTATAATCTGAGTTGTTTTTTTTACAATCGCGCTTCTCAGTCAGGCAGTCATTTGGCATCTCTCCGGTGTAGAACCAATTATAAAAACAACAGAGCCGCATTATTCATCGCTCTATACTACTATACTTAATTGTAACCTCTCAGCACAATGTTCCAAAACAGCCCCGTACTGTAACTCGTTGCCCGCAGAGACTGAATCACCCGTTTGACCTTGAACAACAGAGCCGAGCTGAGCTGTGCTTAGGCGTTGTGCTGAGCTTTGGCTCGGCGCTCAGAGCTGTAATTACACACACTAACACTGACCACCCGCACATGCAGATTTCAACCAGGCCATTTCACCCCTGATCAAAGCCCGGGTTTTAAGTGTCCTATGAAATGTAATGTTGTGGAACAGATACAGGGATTGTAGCTAGGGCGGTTAACTCCTGGATGGGATGCAAAGAACACTGCTTTCATACTCAGTGAACTGATGATTATAATTAGACAGCCACTCTCCGTCCCTTTTAACGACTCCCATTCCCCCGAAGCTCGAATGTTTGTCCTCTCTTTGTCTGCAGTGGACTGCGTGGACCCTCAGTGTGGTGGGCATGGCGTGTGCGTCCGCGGGGAGTGTGTCTGCTCTCCAGGCTGGGCAGGAGTGAGCTGTGATGACCCGTTGCCAGCCTGTCAGGAGCAGTGTTCAGGACATGGCACCTACCTCCCTGAGTCAGACACCTGCGCCTGCCAGCCCAACTGGACAGGACCAGACTGCTACATTGGTAAAACAGAAATTGGATTTTCAATCATGACAGAAACACGCGATTGTATGTCATTTATCGGTGGTCAAGTAGCATGAGTGGTCTTGCCAGGTACAATTTCCCACGAATGTGGGATTTCTAATCATGAGAGGAGCGGATAGCAGCCACGATACTGTGTGTTGTGTGTGTGCACATACAGCTGACCATAGGTGGACGCTCTTTCAGACTGACGGAAGGTCCGTCAGCCCGTCACTGTTTGCGTCAGTATTTCAGGCAGACCCACGTGGGCCCAGTCCGTCCCTTGTCTGCGACAGCCAATCGGTGTTGAGAACATAATTTCCGCATCACACGCAGGCTCTGCACAAACCGACACTCAAATGAAGGAAAAAATGAAAACAGAAACGATCGCCACGTTGGCGGTGTGGTGGACAACTAGTTTGCACGGCCGCCTCACAGTGCAAAGGTCCCGCGTTTGAATCCGGGCTCTGGCCTTCCTGTGTGGAGTTGGCAAGTTCTCCCCGTGCCTGCATCGTTTTCCTCCCACGTTCCAAAAACATGCATGGTTGGTTCACTGAGCACTCTAAAATGTCAGTAGGTGTTTTTTTGAGTGCAAAGTTGTTTGTCTATGTGTTCCCTGCGATTGGCTGGCAACAAGTTAACGGTCTACCCCGCCTACTGCTCTAAGACAGCTGGGATAGGCTCCAGCACGGCCCTTGTGAGGATAAGCGGCTTGGATAATGGATGGATGGACATCAAACAAACACACACGCACTGCGTGGTGATTAGTGAAATAAATTTTATATGTGACACATGTCATTGAGATCTGTGGCACTGGAAGGTCTACAACACTTTTATTTTTTCTGCATTTGGCTGCGTGTCAGGTGTGCCACACCTCCGTATGAGGTATTACTGATAAGTCGATTGCCATTTGGTTGTCGCCGACGACTCGGACGGACTGGGCTGGCCTAAAATACTGACGGAAACTCACTGTTGGAATCACCGGACTGACAATGCCCACCTCTTCAGTTGACAAAAATAGTCTACACACTGCTGCTAAAATGCCTTATTTTTGTTATATGAAGAGACCTACAGGTAGATAAATCGTTTTAAAACATTGTTCACCACTACTGTAAAAAAAAAAAAAAAAAAATGGAAATTGTGACATTGCAGTTGCACAGATATGCACACCCTCATCTAACAGTGGATGTTGCTGTCCTCACTGTTCAATTGTATATTTAGTGCCCTGAAATTTCTTTTGTACCTTTCTTCTGAAAGATACCTCTGGATAATGAGATTTATCTGATACAGTGAAAGCTCTCTGCAGACTGTGGCTTGTTCAGTAAGACGTTACAACAAAAATGTCAGGACAAGCCAATGAGAAAAGCTCACAATTATTTGGGTTAATCAACGGTACAGTCCCTTCAACACTGACATCTTGCTGACTCTCATTTAACATGAGTCTGTATGTGATTGGCCAATTCTGGACAACACAATTCCAGTTATGAGAGTGCAACCACGTTATTCCAGTAGTTTATTTTTACTTTTATCTTTCAAAATTTAAAACATTCGGCACTGCTTTAGATTGTGCAGTTATATCCAATACACTGTCTGGTCAATTTTCATGCCCATGTGCAACATTGCCTCTCATGACTGAGGCAATGAAACCACCAACATCTTTGTGGTGGGTATCACACCGTGAGTGCTATCACACAAACAAATGTCCTCCAGCTACTTGAAGTGATGGAAGAACATGGACTGCATAGAAAAAAATAGATGTGATTTTTCAATCAAGGCTGCCTCAAGAATTTACATTGGAGCAATGCACGATTTGGCATTTAATCTGGCCTAATGAGTATTTTTATGATTTTGTTTTCATGTTTTTTTTTTTTTTTTGACAAAGCTGTTTGAGATTTCCTTCAAAGTGAGATGCCTTCAATGTTATGTGGAGGAAGAACAATCATCTGGAAAAAAAAGACAAGTAAAATAGTAGCGGTTTATTCAACAATGTCGAAATTATAAAGTGCGGTACACACCTCATGTACTTGTTACAGTGTCATTTGACAGATGGCAAAATGTCTGTTTTAAGGCTTTCCACCACATAAAGTTAATACTGTTCTCGGTAAAGATGATTTATGTGCAATTGGCATGAGCACTTGCCCTCAAGAATGTGGATACCTTATTACTGTGATATACCGTAGTCTGAGATAATGACAGGCCATGGGTCTGAATATCTATTTGTGGTGCCAGCAAGAATTCCCTCTCTATGATGCCCTTATGAAAAAGAACTCGACGATTCAATCCTGTTCTTGCCCAAGCATAGCTAAATGTATCTCTAAAGGAGAGCTGAACACTCTCCACCTTTAATCCACTTTTCCCACCCTCTCCATGGGAGCTATATTTAAATTGAAATAACTTTTCAGTGTGGCTAGGTAAGTAGTCTTTGTGAGCCTCTAGCACTTTGCCCGCGTTGCACACAGATGCCGTTTATTCCGCTGTCGAGAGTGGAAAACTAAAATAGAAATTAGAGACGCAAGAAGAGGTAAGGAATACAATGATTTTTAGAAAATGGAATTCCAGAAAATCAAACCGAGGAGAGAAAAAAAGATTTTCACATGTCAAGCAAAGAACTAAATTGTAGGCCCCTGCAGGTTTCCAAATGCAGTGTAAATACGAATCATTTTATGATATGGTTCAATTGATTCCACTCTTCTCTGCACTTCGGTATGAGAAGAAAGTGTGAAAAAATAAGTATTGCTTTTTCCTTTAATTGATGCTTCCATCTTGGTTTTGAATTGTAGTTTTTCCTCCATAGTCCCTGCAACTTTGACTGTATCTTTCAATTTTTAATTTGCTCCATCTGCTCGGCCTGTTCTTTTCTCCTCTCACACTAACATGCTTGTCTCGCCCAATACCCCCACCCACCTCGCTGGCAGAACTGTGCCCAGTCCCGTGTGGCAGTCATGGTGTTTGCTCCGAGGGCCAGTGCCAGTGTGAGGAGGGTTGGCTCGGCGCGGCATGCGACCAGAGAGCGTGCCATCCTCGCTGCGAAGAACATGGCCAGTGCCACGATGGGACTTGCATCTGCCAACCCGGCTGGGAGGGAGAGCACTGTAACATCGGTGAGCGCACGTGGGATACTTTAATTATTCGTTGTGATATTTGGATTGGAAAATGGTGTCATCGTCACTTTTTGCCTCCGCAGTTGCTCATGATTTGGACATCGTTGTGAAAGGTATTTTTTTTTCATTCATTTTTGTTCATGACTATTCCTATAAAGCAGTTTTGAACAAATTCGAATGACTATGTGTGTGTGTGTGTGTGTGTGTGTGTGTGTGTGTGTGTGTGTGTGTGTGTGTGTGTGTGTGTGTGTGTACACATCTGTTGGTGTGGATGATTTTGTGTACGTGTGTCATCTTCAGACGGCTGCCCAGGGTTGTGCAGCGGGCACGGGCGCTGTACCCTGGAGCAGAGTGGCTGGCGCTGCGTGTGCCAGGCTGGATGGAGTGGGCCTGGTTGCAGCGTTGTCATGGAAACTGACTGCAGTGATGGAACAGACAACGATGGAGGTGACATTCTATCACCATCTATCTTTTTCTATCTCTATTCTGTCTTTGTTACCGCTTTTCATTTCTGTCTTCCACGCACTCCTTTCCATCATTTCTCTTGCTTCAAAAGCCAAAATGAATCCGTTTCGTTGTCCTTGCTTCCGTTCATCTCTGCGTCGTCGCAGTCCTGCTGTGAAGCCTGTGGAGTCCTATTGGTCATTACTTAAGTGCGTGTTTGTGTGTGGGTGTGCATTTACATTTTTGCCTTCTCACAACTAAATATTTGGTATGCATAACACCTGCTGGGATAAAATAAATAAATAAATTGACATAATTTAAAACACACACACACACACACACACACACACACATACACACACACACACACATACACACACACACGCGCACACACAAACACACAGGCACTCCACACCATGCAAGGAGAGCCATAGATGAACAAACTGGCTCTAAAATAATACTTAAAAAAAACTACATTGTAGGCAAACAGTAAAAACATTACAAGCCACTACATTCCAAGAAAGCCATCAAAAATGACAGAACGAATGCAACATACTGTGTGTGAGTATCGCGTTGTGTCACAGAGCTCATTCAGGCTTCCAGTCTTTCACTCATGCCACTTCTCTCACCAGTTTTTCAAATGCCATAATTGCTGCTAATGCTTACAACGTACAAGGAAGGCTCTCATATGTCTTCTTTTTCTCTGATGATCAATAGAGACAAAAAGATGCTATTAAAAGTAATCAGTGAATAAAGATGGATTGTTCAATTACTCTGCCTGATTGGACATCGTCACAACAGGGTTCTTCCACCTAGAGGAAAAAAACAAAAAACAACATTGCATCCAGAGTGCAACTTACTCCTATAGCCAAACATTTGCATTGCATATGTTTGACATATTGTCATCTATACTTTGCTCCTTTGTGTATTTCAATTGCCAGCTACACTACGCTTAGTAATTTACAAACAGTGTCCTTTTAATGGCAACAATGAAGCAAATTCAATTAATTGTGTTCTTTCAAGCTGGAGTGGTGAATGGTATGGAAATGAATTATTGTACTCGGCCACCTTTGTAGGAGTAGGTTATAATAGAATATTGTTGGCCTTTAGCTCTCTGCTCTGCGGTCAGATGCATTTAAATGTCAGCACTGCTTCCTGGCTTTTCAGAAACAAGCCTGAAATAGGAAGCACAAATGCCAGCCGGGCTCCTGTTACCTGCTGCTTTGGCTCCTATCAGCAGGCTATTGTTTACACTGGACTTTTATGGCTCACATTCAAATAGCGGCGCAGACAAAGTCCTGATTTATAGCAATATGAAGGGGGCTTGATGAAGGAAAGAATCTAATTTGATTCATTTTTGTGATAATGGTGATACATATGCGGTTTATTGTCTCAGATTGCATCTCCTTTGTTGGGCTCGGCATTGCCGGGAGGTGCAGTAATTATTTTTTGGCATTGGTTTTATAGTATCATCTTTCCATTTTGTCCGTGTTAAAATCGCACAGGTTAAGGTCCCTCTTGAATATTGAATGCAAATACGTTCACGTAACATTAACCAGCTTATGCTTCCACTGACAAGAAAACAAAACTCGTCATATAATAAATACAAATGTCTAATATTACACATCGTAAATGTGCAGTATCTCATCATCAATGCTTTTTAAGTGATTTCTTGACATTGTTTCTGTCTATATCAGATGGTCTGATTGACTGTGTGGATCCGGACTGTTGCGAGCAGCTTAGCTGTGGCTCTGACCCTCTATGCCGCGGCTCGGCTGACCCCATGGCCTTGTTGCAACGGAGCCCATTGCCCCCAACTGCACCGGCCTCACCCATTAACACACACACTTACAGTTTCTACCGCCGCATCCACTTTCTCCTTGGCAAAGCAGCCACACACGCTCTCCCTGGAGACGTGCCCTTTGATACCAGGTATGCGCTTGTTTACTCTTTTTGAGTCTGGGTCACCATGTGCATGCGAAATCATTCCTTTATTTCTTTTCTATGACTGTGTCCTTGGATTGTCCATTGTTAAAATACAAGAGAAGAATAGAATTCATTGAATACCTCAGTGTAGCTGTATTAAATTGTTCAGGAGTTGTTGTCGGTTTAATGCGTGCTTGGGATGAGGTCTTGCCAGCATACAGAGCAGTATCGCCATAAGGTGACCGATTTCAACCCCCCCCCCCCAACAAAAAACTATATATATATATATATATATATATTTCAAGGCACATCTTCACAGACACACAGTAACAGTTTGAGTGCGTGTTTATTTTTCTCCCAGTTGATAGTGCGGTTTGATTACCACGAATGATTCAAATTGAGTGGGTGAGGATTTGAATCGGGTTATTGCTTTTTTAATAACGGTATGCACACTGAAAGCCTGCACACCCATTTGCACATACAGCCAGCACGGAAAGGCGGGCAAAGTCTGTCACTACCCCACAGCGTGGCATCTAACATTCCCTACAGTGATAAATGAATAGGAAACGCGATAGCCGAACCTCAGGTCTTTCAGATTCGTCAGCCCAGCCTTAGAAAAGTGGAAGGAGTTGGTATAATTGGCACACACATGCAAGGACATAAAATCAGCAGACTCAAGTCATATGAGTGTGTTCCTTAGGTTGCAGCAGAATGTTGGTGGAAGGAAATTCATCATCACAGAGCACACTGTCACCTCCCTCGGCCTCTCCTATGCAAACGTAGTCCACCTTTACAAAAGCTCACGTGGATCTTCTTCGTACTGCACACATCTCTCGCATCCCACCTCGTCTGTCAGATATCTGTAGGTTAGCAGGGAGCTAACCCTGCGGCTACAGTCCACATTCCACTCTTCATTATTTCTTGTCACACATGTTTCCACTGTAAGGATACTGCAGGTAGAAGGTGGAATATCAGGTACCGTTTGATGAATTTATCCAGGAGCATTGACCAAACTACAGATCTCATCCCATTCTGTATTTTCTTGTTACATTTCACGACACGCTGGTTTGCGAAGCCCTAAAGTTGAATTACGCAGATAAGGGTCATTCAGTGCTCGTTGTTACGTGTTAAACTATAACAGTGGGTGTCACACGTTTTATCAGGAAACAAACAGGAAACTGCCGTCCGAATTGGATTCTTTGTCATTGCACGTGAATTCAATTTCTTTGAAGGTTGTGTCTACTCAAAGCAATGTAAATATTTGGCACACAAAGGCATGGATTGCCTCCGAAATTCTCTACATGTACGGCTGCCTTCATGACAATGGAAGAATAGAGATTTCCTTCACACTTCTTCACATAAAAGGAGCCTCATTTTGCATTCACAGAACCTGCCGCCGCCATTGAGTCTTTGAACTCCCATTAAGCCATTTATCGCCATCCAGTACAAGTCATTTCATTTTCCCAACAGCGGGGAGGGATGCACTCTCCCCTGCCCAGCTCTGTCTCTTTCAGAAGTTTTGCAAAGCGTGAACGTTGACTGTGGTATGAAAAGCTTTCATTCCTCATCATTTTCTCAATAAAATCATCCAGTTTAGCTCTCAACGACTCAATTGTCACAAACAAATTCGTTTGAAGGACAATAGAAATGTGTTTTTTTTCTAACAAGTGTGTCCTTGTTTTCTCCAGTTGCCCCATCCATCCATGAGATGAAGAGCCACGGTGTTAGTTTGGGACGCACAGCTCTGCTGAGGTGTGAGGCGGCTGCTGTGCCTTCGCCAACATTTGAGTGGTTCAAAGGGGAGAAAAGGTGAGCAGAGATTGCTTTAGCATCGACGGTCACTTGAATGAGCTGTGTTCCAGTTGTTCTGCAGAAGGGTTTGTCCTCTCTCACGGCCGTATTTTACACCAAAAGTGGTTGTCATTGGGTTTGGGCCACAAAAGTTTCACTCCCACAAAAAATTGTGTTTTCCCCAATTGTTGATCAATAATTGTGTAGATCCTATTTACGATGAATACTGTATGTAATGATGAAAAAGTGATATTTATAAAGAAGCCAAATTTCGTTTAGATGCTAAGGACAGGCAGGATATAATGTTTCTCAAAGTAGCAGTTGAAATTGCCAGTATGTTATCACTGATAAGTACAAGATTATAAGATGTTGCAGGCAATACATTTGCATAATGAAAAAGGGCTGGCTTTATCTGTTTTCCCTCAGAAGGAAAATGGTTTGTCATTGTGTTTGGCTGCCTGCTATGGAGAGCCCACATACATGTTCCAACACTACTCATTTGTGTTCCGTCCTATCCTTGAATCCAAATGAAACATTCCCCGGCAATCCTCTAACATCAATTATTGCATATACATCCGTCGTTTAAAATTCACCTGTGTGTTGTTGGATTTAAAAAGTCCACTTACCATCATTAACTGCTCTTCAATCATTAGCTCATGCAGTGATAATTGTAATTATTGGCTGCAATCAATTAATTCAAATTGCCAAGGAGGGAATTTGCCAGGATTCTACTCTTAGACTTTATTTTTGGGGGACTTACTGGGTGATCTTACTTAATTGAATTTTTATAACTACTGAAGTACAGAAGTATGTGGTCTTCAATGTTTAACACAGCAAACAATACGTTTAGCATCTGCACAACACTAAGAAAGAGAGATAGAGAGCCACTTTTCTTCCACTGTGTTTTACGGCCTTAACATCAATTCAACGCTGCGTCAGCTTGCCACGACTGGAAAAGCAAAACAATCTTTGACATGGTCCATTTCATGATCTGCCGCAAATTTGGATGGAGGCGAGGGAGTCTTGCGTGCGTATATCTGGGCGGTTTTGCTTTCGATCTGAAAGAGGAGATTGCAGGCTTGTTTAATATTGACTCAAAAAAATAAAGAGAAAAGCTTGCTTGGTACTACCATCAAGATTATTAGTGAGGATGTCACCTTGGGACATGGCTTGACATAAGGTCTAATGAAGTGGTTTAAACCAGAGTTCCTCATACTGTAAGCAAAGCAAAAGTGGAGGTCGATGAGGCAGCCACAGTCAACACAGAGTACACAACACGCCTCCTCTGTGGAGTATGTGATGGATTATGTCAGGAATACTGAAGGGGTTCAGTTTAAGAAAATCCCCCCAACAAAAAACTATATATATATATATATATATATATATATGTTTTTACCTTGTTGACAGGGTGGACATTTTTCGCAAATGTTAACATTTTATGAGCATATGCTGGACCTTCAATTTGCAACATGAGTCAGTTAGCCAGCCTATGCCAAATGTACATTTTTATATCAACAGATATTCTACTCTGACAGATTATTCAAAATATAGATTATTCAATCTGTCAGAGTGTTAAAATTGATGATATCCAATGATATGCATTATATGATGAAATGATCAAACATTAGTGTACTTTTTACTCTACAACTAACCTCTGTTTCAGCCTCCATTTTTTCCCATTTTGTTTTTTGTTTGTTTTAATCAAATTGATTTTCGAAATGTTTAACTGCATTTTATTTCCAGACCTTATATCCTGACGACTGCCACATTTTCGTTAAATAGTGGAGTCTTACTGACAATAACGCAGTTTGTTTTGCATCACGCACAAGGTCATTTGGCGAGAGCATCACGACATGCGTCCCTTCTCAAACAATCATTGTCATTGCAAAGCTATCATCTTGTCCACTTTTGTGTCCTTTTATGATTTTCTCCAACTGCTTTCCGCCTTTGTTATGCCAGCCGTGTTGCTGTGATTCGAGGCAGCGTTGCATTGCAAGATGGCTCTTCATTGGTTGGCGTCAACATCACCTTCCCTCAGCATCCCGAATATGGGTACACCATCAGTCGACAGGATGGAAGGTGCAAAAATGCACGCACGCACGCACGCACGCACACACACACACACACACACACACACACACACACACACACACACACAACATGCTTCCATTCGCTCCACTAATCTTGTTTTTTAATTCACTTTTCCAATACCGTAGTTATGACCTGGTGACTTTGGGTGCAATGTCAGTGACTCTGATGTTCCAACGCCCGCCTTTCCTGTCACAAACACGTACTGTCTGGACCCCAAACAACAACTTCTTGGTTTTGGATCAGGTCATCATGTCCAGGGAAGAGGTTCAGCCTCAAAAATGTGATATTCGGACTGTTTTGAGTCCTTATCCTCTGGTCTTGCCATACCCACTGCCCAAATACACAGGGACATGTGCAGAGAAGGGTTCTGCTGTACCAGAGCTTCAGGTAGGCCTACCTAATAATATTTGGTTTGTCACTTGTGTATTAAATGCAGCAATAATGTTAATAAAATTGGTCAGTTTATGATGAAGCAATGGCAATAAATGAACTTATAATACTTTACAATACAATTTCAGATGAAATAATCAATCAAAACATTTATTTAACCAGAAAATAAAAACACATTTAGACCAAGGCCGCTTTATACACGAATCATATTCATGATGGTTACTGCTAATGTGGGAGCTGTTTCGTGAGCATATTACACATTGATACAACCACATTTTCATCCTCAAAGTTTATTTTTGTCCGTTGTTCTCTTGCAGGCAGTGCAGGAAGAAGTTGCAATTCCAGGATCCTTCATGAAGCTGAACTATTTGAGTACCCGAGCCGCAGGTTACCTCTCCTTGTTGCGTATCCTCCTCACACCTTCATCCGCGTCCTCGCCCATCTCGCCCCTGGGCAGTTTGTCAAAGGTGCATGTGAGAGCTTCAGTCCAGGGAAGGTTGTACCAACGCTGGTACCCTGCTGGGCCTGGTCTGGTCCACAGGGTGGTCTGGAACAAAACAGACGTTTATGGCCAGAAGGTGTGGGGCCTCACTCATGCAACTGGTAGGTTGAGAAATGCAACTTAAATTCTTGTATTTATTAATGTATAGTGTTGTTCCCGGGTTTTCAATGGGTATATGGAGTGGGTGTACAGTATACCGCAGCACATCCAGTGACCGCTAGTTTTCGGTGGGAAAGAAAACACTTGAGATTTACACCATCATTACTTTTTTTTCACAATTAGACATCATCAGAGTTTGAGGTGCACCATTAACATCAGAAATTTGAACCGTGAATGGTACTTATCAAGCATGAACAGCTAAAAATATACACTGTGCATATAATAATAGCCAGGCGTACTTTTAAAATAATGTATTTTTGTAAAAAAGAGAAATTGCTCTCATTTTGCACAGACGATAGCAGCGCGTTAGTTGGTCGTTCAAAGTAATTAATTTGCTGCAGACTGCGTGTAAGATCAAGACAATTAATCATTGTACCTCATCCTCAAAACGGGAAGATGAATTAATGAACAGTGTCTGATAATGTGTATCCAATAAGAGAAAAATAATATGACTGATTATCTTGAATTGTTTATGTATTTTCAAGGCTCAAAACCCACTTTTTTTAAGGAGCATTTTTGCTAATCAATGACTTTCGTTTGAGGAACAACATACAAATTTGAGGAGCTTTTTTTTTTTTTTTTCCCCCCCCCAGACCAATCGCAGGGATCTGAAGCAATGGTTTCATTAAACAACAAAAATATAAATATGTAGTGCCAGAAGTGAGGCCAGTAACCCCCAAGCTGGGCAGATGGCTGCAGCAGATACCAGGAAGAACATCTGACATCATGCAATGCTGCGAGCAGCTCAGATCCTGCGAAGAACCCTCAAGCTCCTCGGCCTTCTCGAGCTTGAAGGAGATATCGCCCCGGTGGGCGAGGAAACCATTTCATACTGGGAGTAATGAACTAATACCGTACATATATCGATGGTTCTTAACCTTTTTAGAGGAATCGAACCCGACCTGTTAATATCCACATTTACCGAACACTTCATGAGTGAAAAATAAATATATTTTTTTAAATAAATTTAGGATATAAAAAAAACCACATTTATTAGAACCGGAAAAAGTAAAATTTCAAGAGGAAGTATACTTTTTATTTTATTTTTTAATTGTATGACGTACTATCACGACAGTCACACATTGACTACTAAGCGAACTAAATTTCCCGCGGCACTGATTGGACAAGCAATGTCATGTGATCATCTGCAGCCAGTGATGGCCAAGCAGGCGTGTCATAACTAATTAACATGTTGAGTCGCGTTCGTCTCATCCTGCATCGCAGAGGCTCCGTCGAACCCCTGAAACCGATTCACCGAACCCCTCGGGTTCGATCGAACCCAGTTTAAGAAACACTGACATAGATGTATATATCCATGCACACACACAAAACGTTGAAGTAAAACATCTGAAGTTTGATGAAACTATCTTCAATTTTCTGATCAATAAGAACTGGGCATTCAACCTTCGAATTCCTCCTCTCCTTTCAACACCAACTCATAGAGCTCGCTACTATTTTTAAACAACATAACTCAACTCTGAAATTACTCTGCCTTATAGAAACTGGCTGCGGGCCTCGCGCAAATCAAAATCTCAAGATGCATTTTGGGACATATACTGTAATTTAGTCGGTGGGCACTGTAATCTTTAAAGGGCATGGAAGTCCTTAATGTTTTCTAGCTTGAACAGGCCACATAAAATAACATGGAGGGCCCTTGACATATGTTCCATAAAGACTATTTCTTTAATATAAGTTCACTTTTCTTTATGGTATTAAAAACTTGCAGATATAGGAGTCTCATATTGTACTACTTTGAAACTTTCCGCAGACAAATAAAAGGTTTTTCTGTTGCGTTCATTCCTTCCCCACTCATATCTTTCTCATCTGTCACCTTTTGTTCGATCAAATTTTCACTCGTTCTATTTACCTGCCTCTCTGAACAGAGATCTCACCCATCTTTGCCCTTCGTGCTTCCTTTCCTGCTGCATTGTTTTTCTTTCTCGGCATGTTCTTCTCCTCCTGACTTGTTATTTTCTCCATTCTTTGTCATCTCTTCCGTGCTGCCTTGCTTGTCTCACGCGGTCCTCTTGTTTATTCTTTTGTACACTTGTTCCACCCTAAACATCCCCGCTCTCGACTTTCTGGTGCTTTGGCTGGCACAGCGACTCACACAAACACTGATTGTATGTCCACGTACACACACACAGCCAACGAGTCTGCAAGAAAGGGAGATCATGCTCTGTTTGCTGGGGTGAACACATGCCTGAGGCTTCGACAGAGGGGAATGAAAGCTTTCACCTGTGTGCTATAGGGCATGTGTAGATTGTTTGTTAGATAGTATACGTGTGTGTGTGTGTGTGTGTGTGTGTGTGTGTGTGTGTGTGTGTGTGTGTGTGTGTGTGTGTGTGTGTGTGTGTGTGTGTGTGTGTCCCACCTGTAATACATCTGTGGTGATATTAGGTTGTGGATACTGTACACACTTCCCCTTTGGTACTTTTCTTGCAAGGCTTTACTCTTGTTTCTCACCGTTGCGGGAATGCTTCTGCAAGAAGGATTGCGGAGACAACAGCGCCTTCAATTATCTGTTTGCTGCTTATCATTGGCTTTTTAACAGCTGCCATCTAAATGTGGTGGATTTGCCTGACAGAAAATTCCTTCATATGCCTTGACTGGATGGACCCCCGTTGCTCTCTGAGTGACATAATATGCATTTCAATATGGCTAATTTTACAAGGGATTCAATATTCATTCTCCCTCCCTCTGCGTGCTCATCACTGAGTGCATCATCAAAGATATGGTCAACATTTTATTTTTGATTGGGATCAATTTACACGTGCGCCCGAATGACCGATAAGAATGGTAAAATGCTCCTTAAAACATTGCCTGCACGGTTGATAATGATAACGACTTCTTCTTTATGGCGACAAATAGACCCGATGAGTTCTATGACAGGTGCGATTCGAATGCAGAGCTAAGAAGAAGGACCTTGACTGTTAGCAAAGCATCTGTAGTCTAGTTCCTTTTGTGGGGGACTTCAATAAGTGAATGCGTAATGTACAATTGCCCACCTCTTTTGCAAAACATTATTTCGTTGTGTTCCAGAATTTTAAAGTGCTTAGTTTTAGACCAAAACTAAAAGGACGGAAACTTTGTTTTTTTCTTTAGTTGTGCTCTTATATTAGCACAAATATTAACAGGAGTGCTCAAACTCAGAGTCAATCCTATTAGGATTATGTTCTTGTCTGACAGTCTGTTACAAGTGGACTGATTGCATTTTTGATGTTGGAGCTCTGTGTTAAAAAGTGGAGATACTTGAGATCTGATCGTGATATTCATCATCTGGGCTGCGAGCTTCTCGATATAATTATTTCATCCACCATCTTTATCGATTGTAGTCACTCAGTTTACCTTGCATGTTTTGAGGAATTTTCTCTCTTTTTGAGGTGAATGTTGCTGCAATACATCATTATTATTATAGTGCTTTCACAACAACTTCAGCTGTAACAAAGCGCTTTACAGAACATAAAATAACAAGATACGGTAAAATAACACAACACATAACATCAGACATGGACAGTCATGCAATCGTAACCACTATTCCATTATATACCTTGTTGTTTGAAGTAGTTTCAAATGAAAGAGGAGAGAATCAAAGTGTCCTTTTACCAGAGACGTCATGCTCAAAACGTGCATGACGACCCACATGTCTGCTGTAAACTAAATTTGAGTAAACAAGAAGCTCTGGTGTCCACTGATGAAAAAAGCGATTGGTTCACTTCTCCTGTCCCATGTAAATCCGCTTCAATTCCAAGTGCTGAATAGAGTCAATTCAAGACACCATTTTTTTTTTTGTTAGTTAAAAAAAAAATAAAAATAAAACATATTCATTAATCCCATGTAAATCCGCTTCAATTCCAAGTGCTGAATAGAGTCAATTTTTTTTGTTAGTAAAAAAAAAATAAAAATAAAACATATTCATTAATCTTTCTGATTAAAAAAAAAAATAAGACATATTTTAAGTAGCTTTTACGTCTTCTCGAAAATGTACTGATTTGATTTGTATTTATTTTTTTTCTGTAAGCTAGGACTGTGATTTTATTTTGAACAATATGGTTGCATTTTTGTCATCAGATTCCAAAACTAATTTGCTGTCAAGCTTATAGTGGGAAGCTGCACACTATATCAATAGAACTAAGAGGCCAGGCACCAAATTGTAGGGCTCTTTCATACAAGAGTGACTCCTTTTGATTACACCGCTACTTCATACTGATCTCTGCAGACAGACTCACTGATTAGGTTTTGCTGTGCAGGCCTTTCATCTGGCTCAGCCCAGCGTACAGTACAATGTAGCTTTGAGAGAGATTAAATTCAACTTCACCGTTACTGCAGGCACATGTTTCCATAGGAGTTGAACCCAGGCCATCCTAACCCTGGCCCCCAAAGATTCGATCACTTTGGACTGGAATATACCGCATTTGAGAGCAGCAGGCAATATTTTCAAGTGTCTCGCCGCAAAGAGCTAATCATTCTTTTGCTAAGTCTTCTTTTGCGATGTTTGTGAAAACTACCATTCAACCTTAAAACTTGGAGAGCATGTCAAACGAACAGATACAGTGGATGGAGTCATTTCTACTGAAACGGGACAAATTATTTCACACAAGAATCCGCAAGTCTTGTTGTCATCTCTCCCTCCTGCTAAATGACAGAACTGGAATTAAGCCTCTCGAGTTCTCAGTGGATAAATTATACATTATAAACTCAAACTCTATTTCTGTGGCACTTTAACAATTACACTCATACTTTCTTCTTCTAAGAATTCTAAAGAAGTAGCGGTATTTCTTTCAGAAGGTTATGTAAAGAAACCTAGAACAGTCAAAGTCGGTTCTGCTGCACAAACTAATGGCACGAATCTAACACCGGCATCTGTGTTCATGTGTTTGCTTTTAGTATCGGTCGGCTATGAGTATGAATCGTGTCCTGGAGTTATTCAGTGGGAGAGGAGAACGGCGCTCATGCAGGGTTTTGAGTTGGTGCCCTCTCACCTCGGAGGTTGGTCCTTGGACAAACATCATTCCCTCAACATTCGTAGTGGTGAGTATATCCTCAGGACATATTGAGTCCAACTTGAACATTTTCGATATTTGTTCTTGGGAACTGTTATTTAGCTGCATCAGTACTCCTGCTACAAATTTGGTTAGCTGAACTCATCATTGAAGGAGCCGTGGATGGCTCGGTCTAGGGCCATTTTGTTCATTTTACAATAATCTGACATCTTTAAATTATTTTACTACCGGTAATATTTACCACCGAAGATTTTGAATATTGGGAATATTGTGATATATAGAACATGTATGTTATAAGGTAAAGTCCTTAAAATATTTGTTGAGGATTATTATCTCAGAATCGAAACATCTCAAGACATTTACAGTCATTAGTAATAACATGCAACATGCATACATTTTATCCATGTCACAAATCTCTGTTGAATGATATGATCTATTTTGATATGTAGGTGGTTTGATTTTTACACTTTTTTTTTGTAACATACATACATTGTTTGATCTCAGGTTTTGGAGAGGCCTCTTACATGGTGTGGGTATTTTCTGCATGTGTGATGTTGCCCACCATGGCCTAAGAAATGCTCAGGGACTTTGTGTGAATGCTCATACACATGGAAAATAAATGGGAACATTGAATGTTTCCCTTGTAAACATTTTTTTTTACGGACAACCTTAAAATAGCAGTGACAAAATGTAATTTAGCGAAGAAAATAACGATGGCTGAGTGACGTAGTGACGGACTGAATCGGATTGCAAATCATGACAGACTGATGATGTCTGACTTGCGGGACCGCCGCTGGTTGATGACAGAAGGTCGCTGACTCGCCCGCCACTGGTTTTGAAGGTTTTCAAACCTCAGTAATCACAAGGCCTCAAGATAGAACAGATTTTTTTAATTGAACACGTATTTCTCTTCAATTCTGAGCTTCAGATAGCTGCCCCTTGCCATCCTTAAAAAATGCACCAAGACCTCATCAACCCAATAAGAGTAAGGTTGCTTTTCACTTCATCTGTAATTCATCATTTTAAATGTTAGTGCAAGCAAATCCCTTGAATCTATGTTGGTTTTGGTAAAGGTCTTTGCTCTTGTAAAATCAGTTTATGACTGCACTGCACCAGCTTTGGTCGTTAGCTAATAGACTATGAAAATAAATAAATAAATAAATAAATAAATGTGGCACGCTCACCTCATTGTCTGACAATAGAAACACAGTAAAATGCAAATGCAACCAACTGAATAATGAATTTGGCGACATTAAAACACATGAGTAGTAATTAAAAAGAGCAGAGTCTGTGTAAAAGTTCAGCTGTGCATCAGTGCGCGGGAGCAGCCGGACACTGGACCGAGTGGTCCAAAGGACATTTTGTGACAGATTTTTACTGCACCAAGATCATCTTTTTTTGTTTGTTTTTTTTAATCACCTTGTATGTATATTGCCTTTATGTGTGCTACTGCCGTCGTGAAATAGTGATTTGTTAGGCTGTCTGATATGAACCTGGCAGCATCAGTCATAAAGCTGTCTGACTGACTGAAAGAATAACTAATGTGGATGCTTCCTTTATTGTTTCAATAACAAATGCTGAGGGGTGTGATTGCGGACCGTCTCCAGTGATACAACTATAGTGAACCTCCGCACAGATGTGGTTTGGTGTATGTATTTGATTTGCCTATTCTGGGATTTTTCCTGTTATTCACTGAAAAACACACATTTATCATTTTTGTGCCAAAGCCAAACCCATTTCTGCTGGCATCTTGGTGTCCAGAAACTGTTTAAACTGAAGGGAGAAGCTGCATTTAGTTAGGCCATATCCCTGCCTAATAGAAAAAAAATATTGCTTGGTCACTTCCCTGTGTCATCTGTCGGCAATTACAAACTTTTTTATATATTTGCATATTTCACTTTTTGTGGCACTGCTCAATCCTTATCCAGTGTCAATTGAGGAGGTTCACCGTAGATAAGGCCCATTTCTGTCATGTTTTCCGCATGGGAGAAGACCCAAAAGTAGGGAGGCAGGAGAAGCAGAGCAGGGACACTCTGTAAAAACTCAATGGAAAGAACCAACAAAGTCCTGAAATGATCAAAACTCAAAGTAACAACAAAACGGCAGGAAATAAATAAAAAAAAACATCACTATGAAAAACAAAACAACATGACAGCAACAAAAACAACAGTACCACAACGATCCGACGCCAAGTGGTCGGCGTGGCAGCCCTTTTAACAGAAAAGAGCTAATGACATGATGACCAACAGGTGTGACACTGGAGGAGAAGCCCTCCACTGCCACCTGTTGGTCACACATGGAACAGGACCATGACAATTGCTTTTTTCTTCTTGACCTATCAATTTCTTTTCTTGTCAACTCTTGTTGGGTTTTTTTTCTTCTTTTTGTAAAACCATCGGGATCTGAATACAAATGCTGACCCGACTTTTCAGATTTGTGTTCGTTTAAAATGGTGAAAACATTGTATCATTTTGGTTCCACTTTACAATTATGTGCTACTCTGTGTTGGTCAATCACATACAATCTCAAAAATATACAATCAAGTTTGTGATTGTATGGTCACACAATATGAGTGTTCAGGGGCTATGAATACTTTTTTGGGGCACTCTGTGTGCACCCTGCTTAAGGCTTGACACAAATGTAAAGACTGCACGTCGTTTCCTTGATAGTCGATCAGATAAAAAGAGTGCAATCAAAATCACAGGCAGTATTTGAACACATCAAAACAAAAACTTCTGTTCACTGCACACCACTGCGAAAGCTCTCCAAGAGAATATATACTTGTAGTGTAGGTTACACAGCACAAAGCACAAAACAAACTAGTAGTGAAACACTACATTAAACACTGCACAAAAGAGTACAATTAAAGGACAGAATAAAGGGGGAGTGGGGGGCGACTTTAGACACAAGCGCAGAACATGAGCACAAGTTAGCTAATCATCCACACAGGAACAAAGGGAAGAACAGTACGGGGGCGCTACAAAATCAAATGCAACCTGAAACCAAAGACTTTCCGAAGCAACCCTCGAGCTAACATATAGCCTATGTGCATAACTTTTCTGAACGCTTACGAACACAGTAACGTTTGCAATTACTCTTATGTTTTCCCATTCTATTGTTACTCTCACTTATGCTGAAACAAAATGCTGTGTTGTTTTGACTCAGTTTCATTTCGTCAAATGGTTGCTTGAAAAAAAGCGTCTGAATCAAAGGAGCAAAAATTTTTTTACGGAGAGTAGTAGTCTACTTATAACATGTATCTGGATCCAGATGCTTTAATTCCAGGCAACCACTTGAAATTAAATTGAGTAATATCAACGCACCATTTTTTTTTCTGTGTACTGTAGACCACAGCTTTTAGTTATTGCAACAGTATGTTGGTTCTAGAAATACGGCAATTAGTAGTCAAAGCCATTTTGCATAGTAATAAGGAGCAGTCGGGACTATCTCACCTCCAATTTTTGTGTTCAAAAATACAGCAAATGTGATATAACGAACCCATTTGTCTTTTCCAAGGAATCCTCCACAAGGGAAATGGAGAAAATGTCTTCCTCTCCCAGCAGCCCGCTGTGATCGCCACAGTTATGGGGAACGGGTTCTATCGGAGCGTCCCCTGCGGGCCAAGCTGCAGTGGCGCAGCCCGTGATCTGATGCTGTACGCCCCTGTGGCACTGTGCAGTGGTCCTGACGGTTCTCTATATGTTGGGGACTTCAACTTCATCCGCAGGGTGCATCCAGATGGCTACACCAGGACCATTTTGGAACTTAAGTAAGTTGGAAGGAGAATTTAAGCATGGGATTGAACATAATTGTATTACAAGTAATGTATTAATATATAGAACGTGTATGTTATGAACACATATAGTGTGTATGTGTGTTAGCATGGCTTTAGTTCTCATTAGCGTCTGTGTTTGACTGACTTGATTCCAGTTTGTCTTCATTTCCAACTTGACACACCCTAATCTACTTCTTTGGGCAGAGAATCTTTTCTGTGAAATGATGTTTTTGTGGTGGATTATGACAATATCGTACTGCGCCGGAGGCGCAACAATCTTGATTGCTCTATTTTCTCAAGCATTATATCTCAATGGAATTTCACTCTCATTTGTCCCGTAAAGCGTTCTTCTTATGTAACTTAACTCATATTCGCTGGTATTATTGCATCTCTTACCAATACTTCTGCTTCAGAGTTTCATTGTGAGTATATATAATATTTCATTTTCCTATGGGAAGAAACAGAAAACAGCTTCCTGTTTGGATTAATATTTAATATGAAACAATGCAGACATTTAAATCAATCCTAATCATACTTTATGGGGATAAAACTCACTTACTGTAGCTTGTGAATATTTTTCAGTTTTCGCTAGAATTGTGAGTTACATATGTGCCTTGTTTTCTGTTTGTTTTTTTTTATGCTCCATCGTCGCTTATTAACAGGAACCGGGATACCAGACACAGGTGAGAAGGGACAATGAACACCATTTTTTATGTGACACGCACATTACAAACACTAAGAAGTGATGTGTTATTCAAAGAGCTCTGATTTAACAGCGACTTAGTTCTGTTGGTTGGCTGCCAATTGAAATGGACTCCCTTTGATAAACACACCATCATAAACACACCATCCTCAATATGTACAATCAGTTTGTCTACAATATAGTATAGCTACTAAATCTGTATGTTAAAATTGCAAATGGGCAGTTAGCCCAATTTGAGTTTATACTTATTTTCTTTCTGATCCTGGTTCAAAAAAAGCCTGCGGCCTCCTTGCCTCCTTTGGCCATTCAGTCTTTGCCGGCTCTGAACCTTGATAGTGTGAGCCATTTACACCATGTCCACAGAAAATCAGACATGACACACAGTGTGTGTGTATGTTTGACCCCAACCTTTCAGTAGGAGCACCTCTTGCAATTCTTAGTGAATATCAAGCTGAACATGGCTTTGTGACAGTGAGGGTTTTAACATATCTGCTGTATGCCAAAGGATAACTTGTTAATACAGTAAAGTATATGTGCCATAACCAGCCAGCTACATGGAAAGGTTGAATCACTGTACTGATCCAGGACTGTTGTTATCTAATAACGCAAACATATGTATTGGAAAATGGACAAAAAGTGCAAAGCTATTTCAACCTGAGAAGTAAATATTTGCGTGAGTAAGGCAAAACTGTGAAAATATGCATTCTATTTATGAATGATCAACCCTGAAACCATATATGGTATCTACTGTATATACCAGACCGTCAGTTGTCGGCAAATGTCGGACCCCCGCCCCCCCAATAAATAAATAAAAACTTTGTAAACCCTAATGCATGGAGCGTATTCTTCTGGAGACACTTAAGATACTCTATCCTTACCCTGGGGGGGTTCTCCTTTACTTCCTGCTTCCATGGCTGTTTTTTACTGTTTGGAGCATATTTTGTTTTTTGTTTTTTATGCTATACGATTGTTCTCCCAAGTCAAATACATTAATTATTCATTCATATTCCGCTCTCAAATCTTCCCTCTCCACATTTTTCCCCTGCAAAGTGGCAAAGTGTCAATCAGCAAGCAGGGTTTTTTAAAGCAAGGTGTCCTCAGAGGGGAGAGAATAGGGGATGTACTCAGTGTAAAACCATTGTCAGTTGGTTGTCTTCGAAAGGAACACACAAGGGGAAGGCATCCGCTACGATAGTCTGAGAGACCCCGACAGTCGAGATGACTGAGTCAGTCAGCTTAGATAGCTGTTCTGTTTTTTTAGTTTGTCTGTTTTACTACATTTTAATGCAGCAAGAGAGGCAGAGGATATAGCTGTTCAAGCTTATCCCTTAAACTGGATACATGCCTTTGGAGATGAACATCTAATTTAATAAAACAGACAATCGTGTGATTTGTAATCATCTCAGTGTACGGGCAATGCTTGCTGAAAATTTAAGAGGCCCAACAAATATTTTATGCTGCACAGAGCAGTGACACACTTTGTAACTCGGTGAAAAACTCTCCTTGGATCAAGTTTAAATTATGTATGTGCAACTCAATGCAGAGTTCTGCAAACAGTTTTACGCTTTATGGACTCAAATGACTGACAGCCCCTGGACGATGGTGCATTCTTTTTTTTCTGGAAGAGCTGAGGATATTCAAATTAATATCGAGATAGGCTTCTCTCCTTTGAGCATTTTGATTAGATCAGGGCTAAGTGTTTTTTGTGGGGGTTGGTGTTTTTTGTGGGGGTTTTTTTTGTTTTGTTTTTTTTTAAATACCAAAATGTACATGTGAAATGAATCCAGTGATAGGGCTGAGTCAAGAACCAGACCAATTTGTCCATTGAGGAATATGACAGCTACAGACAAATATATTTTGGATTCGTTTTTGTTTTTTGTTTTTTTAATGTCAAAAGATAGATAGATTTATCGATTCTTTTTTTTACATATTTTTGAGCCTAATCCCCCTTCCAGCCAAAGTCACCACATCCTATTATTGTGACCTGTTATACAATGGTGCCGGTGTGTTTCGAGTGATGTTGGTAAATACATTTTTCAAAAGGGCCCCATAAAAAACTGGAACACTTGCAGAGGGCTAAGCCATTAGGCCAACCTCAACTTTGTTTACATTATTTTTAATGTTTTTTTTTTTAATGCATCTGTCTTGTCTCAGGAGATTGCTACATTTTAGTTATAATTACAAACTTCAAAATTTAAATAAAGATATAAGCAGTCATTAAAATTGCATCTTTACACTTTAAAAATTCAAAGTAATAATTTTTTGGACTGGTAACTAATATTAATAGTCCCAAATATATAGTTAAGTGGAAAGTATAATGTAATTGACAGAAATGTATTGTATACTGATACAGTGATGACTTGTAATATTAGGTGAAATTTTCCCGGCCCTCTTCCCTCCACTATGCAGGAAATTAGAATGTTGCTTCCATTAGAGACATTGTCATTTTTGCTTGTCTTTCACTCGTTTCCAGAGTGGTCAGAAAAGGCGCTAAGCATCGCAAAAACGTCATTAAGATAACACTAGAAGAAAATCTTGCTCGCTATCTCGCTTGTACTACCATCCAAATGTGCAATTGCTACATTTTAGTTATAATTACAAACTTCAAAATTTAAATAAAGATATAAGCAGTCATTAAAATTGCATCTTTACACTTTAAAAATTCAAAGTAATAATTTTTTGGACTGGTAACTAATATTAATAGTCCCAAATATATAGTTAAGTGGAAAGTATAATGTAATTGACAGAAATGTATTGTATACTGATACAGTGATGACTTGTAATATTAGGTGAAATTTTCCCGGCCCTCTTCCCTCCACTATGCAGGAAATTAGAATGTTGCTTCCATTAGAGACATTGTCATTTTTGCTTGTCTTTCACTCGTTTCCAGAGTGGTCAGAAAAGGCGCTAAGCATCGCAAAAACGTCATTAAGATAACACTAGAAGAAAATCTTGCTCGCTATCTCGCTTGTACTACCATCCAAATGTGCACACATAAAATAAATTACAACTTTCAAAATAAAAGCACAGCATATTTTACGTTTTGCTTTGACGTCATGGTGACTCTGACGGTAGGTCAGGGACTCTTGCCCTAGCCCGTACTTTGCCCAGAGGCGGTTTAGGGTGTTGTTTTTTTTTTTCCTCTGCAACATTCACTGAGCAATTTTAACTCGAAACATACCAACTGCCAATTAGGAATCGACCTGAATCTTGCTCTGATAGCCAACTTCATAAATCGAGGAGATTCTGGTTGAGTTGAGAGTTGAAGTCACATTAAAACCTTTCAAACTGTGTCCAATCAGAACTGAAATCTCTGGTTCTTTTGGCCCGATATTCTTCACTGGCTTGCCTGAAGGCAGGCGCAAGTAGAGTGAGTACCTCGTGGTGATTTAACACGCGGGTCATTCTCACCGCTCTGCTCAAGTGCCCCGTCCGACCGGCCCACCCACGCACAGTGCAGACGTTCACCTAGGAGGAATGCATGCATACTGCTCTGCCGAATAGATGACTCCCACCCAGTTACTCTTGCTCGCAGGCTGTGGGGGACGGGGGCGGGACAGCTGCTGAGTTTGCACAGCTCTTCGATCATCCGCTATGTATGTTTTGACCGAATCATTGCAAGGTGGACCTGATTAACATGACTTAAAGCGATATAAGCAACAACACATTTAAAATTAGATGAATAATTTTTGAACGCTCAACATTTTTTGTTGAAATGTAAAAATTAGGGAAATGAATTCAACTAAGTAAGTAAGACATTGTGCTGACATTTTAAATGTTACAGGCCTTAGCATTTTCAGATATCATTTCCTACTTCAAAATCCACTCATAAATTAACATTTACTCAGGCCATGAGTAATTGTGGGCTTGAATATACTCCGTAAAAGTGTTCTAACTGTTCCAACTTTGCTCTCCATTGACCTGTCCTCAATAGCACCAGCCCGGCCCATAAATACTACTTAGCCATGGACCCAATGGGAGAAGTTCTTTATGTGTCGGACACCAGCAGTCGCAGAGTGTACAGGGTGAGGAACCTTGGTCAGCCGAAAGATCCGTCACGCAACCTGGAGGTGGTTGCTGGGACCGGGGAGCAGTGTTTGCCCTTTGACCAGAGCCACTGTGGAGAGGGCAGGAAGGCCACCGAAGCGGCACTCAATAACCCTCGAGGTAAGACCTTGTCACTGACAATGTTCTCACTAATTGACTGGGACCACCCATTGTTGCCAAGGTTTTTCTTGTTGCACTGTTATGGACACATATTCGTCGGAGTCAAGGTTAAAGGTGATCAATGCAACGGCGCAATCTGTTTTTGCCATTTAAACCTTTTCCTGAGAAACACCGGGAAGCCACTGCAAAACCCACGAGTCCACACAATTCAACAATAGTATATTAAGTTTGAGAAAGTCCATTTTCAGAGCTTGCGCGACTGTGAAAACAATGTCCGCGGTTGTATGAGTTCAGTGCGGAAGAGCTATATTGCCCGTCAAGAGTCATGATCTCTATCCATCTAAGCTTCCATTTTCGATATGGCTCATCCTATTGACGGATGCGGAGAGTTGAAATCAATCCGGGATGAATTTGGCGAAAGGCAGACATCACTCTTGAACGTTCATCACTTCATCACAGGACACAAACAGGAGAGAGAGAGACAACCATTCACAACTGAGCAGTGGTTATTCTTTTACATATGCACCAACAATGTCACAAGTGCAAATTGCTTGCCACGTGCACATGCAGAACGAAGATCCCGAGTTGTTTCACATATGGCAGAGCAATGTTTTGTTTCCCGATGGCACTGTTTAAAGTAAGGTCGAACCGCATTGCTGTGCATTTTCAAGAACTGATGGCAAAGACTTGATGGAGATGATGACTGTACCAATCAAGATCACATCTATTTCATAAATTGTAATGTGGGTCATAATCAGCGATGTTTGGGTGTACTGTAATTCTCTCACTCTGAACATCAAACGAGTATTAATGTAATGGCTGGTTATGTTTTGACGGCGGCACACCATCGTTTACAGTCGTGATTATCTTCATTGCTTGTTCAATGGCACTTTGAATGTCTGCTCTCATGCGTATAGTATAATGCATTAGTGGTTTAAAGATCGCACTGTGTGCTGCCAAAAGCATCAATTTGCATCCCCGGCAGTCTGGCCTGTTGACTCAAGCTAAAAGTGGATGAGACATTCGTCTTGGGGCGCTCATAATTCACATAACATCAATAGTAAGACTTACTATTGACGTTTTTCTGAATGATGTGCACAATTTTTATTATAAGGAGCCTTACTCTCCGTAGAGGACTAAAGACCTTTGATTGATGGGTCACTGCTATTCTGGGGAGGGAAAAAAAGGATAGCAAGAATATTTCATGTCATGGGAGTCAGGAATTAGACAATCAATAACTGGATTTGTCACAGCTATGCTTTTTTTTTGGACTGAAAATTACTTGAAGGTTTCTTCTTGACACAAATTTTGAACATAAATAGCTTTTCTGAATTCCATTTGTCATCGGTGACATATCTTGCTGTATGCATAAGGTACAGTATATTGAAAGGATGTGATGTGGGACCGGGCATCGGCTTGGGCCCTTTCATACCATATCAGCGTTGCTGTAATCACCAGTACCTCGCGTGGAAAAGGCATACAGATATCAAGCATTATTATTTTGGAATGGCTAACTGTGCAATTTTTGAAAAAGCAAAAGATAAGCACTGAGGGTCCATGGAGGAGCCGAAGGAGCAACACTTCAGAAGGACTTTTGGCTTTGGGATTGGAGGATCACGATTTGAATAAAAATTGCAACAGTACCAGAGTGATGTTAATCTGTTTCTTTACGACTGTCGAGAAGACGTGTCAAGTTTTTATGATTTGACCTTTACACCCTGACCAGTGTCTGGTACGGTGCTGACTTTTGCAGACTCAATTAAAAAAAAAAAAAAAAACAAAACTCAACAGATAACGATATAATCGCACATATTATATAGTTTAGCTTGCTCTCTTACAATAAATGACAAGTTCAAAACGACAAATATAGATGACATAAATATTTAATAATCAAATGAAAATATATTCATTTGGATAGGGATGATGCCTCTATCCATTTGGATCAAAATTCTAATCTTTTAATAAAGTCTGTGCCTCTCAACGGCAATTATTCCCAGTCTTTTGCAGAAATGCATGTTAATAGTTTTGCCAAAATTAGAGAAGCCTGACATTTCAATTCATGATTTAATGTAATTCCGGCTTAATGGCACTTTCCGTACTGGGGGAGGAGGGGCATCAGCAGATGTGTGCCCCTTTCCTGAGGAACATATTATGCACCTTACCATGTGCATTTTAATGCAGATTCATGTCCTCCAACTGAGACTAAATATGCATATATACATATATGAATTCATTAATTAGATCATGGAAAGACAGTGCAGGTAATAAAAGTGTTTAAAAAAACTTGGTTGACATTTAGGGTTCACAAAAGTCATTGCCCTAATGCAGGGGTCCCCAATCGCCGGTCCGCGGACCGGTACCGGTCCGCCGGGCATTTGGTACCGGGCCGCACAGAAAGAACTTGCCTTAATTCCGTTTTATTTATTTCGGAATACAAAAGATGTTTTATTTTGAAAAACTACCGGATTCTCTATTACATCCGTCTGTGTCAGGCTTGACACACGTCAAGCCACGCTTCTCCATCACGTGACCGATTACTTCAAAACAAAACGCAGAAGCTCGCAAAATGAGTAAAAAAAAAACTGCTGGAGATCGCAAATCACGGCGGCCTTAAAAGTACGTTCGAGACAACTGGATTAAAGTTATGGCTGAATACTCTGAGATCGCCACAATAGCACTGTTGCTATTTCCGACATCCTACCTGTGTGAGGCGGGGGGTTTCTGCAGCAACGGCGACGAAAACAAAATTACGAAGTAGACTGGACATAAACCACACACTTGAGGTGTCATTGTCTCCTATTACCCCGAGATGGGACCGTCTGGTTGCAGAAAAACAAGCTCGGTGCTGTGGTAAGTCGTCATTTTCATGCACTTTGAATTTGCGTTATCGTATTTTGAAGGCATTAAACCTTGCCATAGCGATCGGAGTGTTGCGGCCAGATTAGACGCTCCTTGTGTTTATTATTATATTTCGAAAACGCCACAGTTTTCATGCAGCTCATACCATATTATTTTGTTGTATTATTTCCGCCACACCTTAAATGCCGGTCCCTGAAAATATTGTCTGACATAAACCGGTCCGTGGGGCAAAAAAGGTTGGGGACCCCTGCCCTAATGTATAATCTGGCCATATTGTGAAGCATAACCCAACCTCAGGTGGACTCATGTGCAAATTCAGCAATTTGTGACTGGAAAAAAATGGAATAATAATAATACGAATGCATATTTAATTTTATTAGAACTGTAATGATTAATCAATTAATCGACAACCAATAAAATTAGTGAATCATCAAAATAAAAAATGATGATCGATCAACGGTTTGCGATTTTAGCATCTCAACAGTAAATATCAGATTTTTGTGGTCCTCCTTTTATCCGATTCATCAATGAATCATCAAATGCAAGAATGCAAAGGCCACTTTAACATTCTTGAACTTGAATTTATTAAACACGCTAAAATCCGTTAAGCAAGAAATGTTTTTAGTTATTTTAAAAAACGGTTTCATATCAGCTTTCTGTTAAAGATGACAAAGGAAATTGCTTCTGATATCTTAAGATTTCAAGTTGGCTTTACGGCCCGATATCCCACTAGACTAAGAACCACCCCTGAACAGTGGCCAAATCCCATCCCCACATTCAGAACCCAAATTAGAGCCACCTGCAGTAAGCTGACCGTTTTCCAAAGAATTACTTGATCATGATGAATGTGACATCGAACTTGACACAGTATGTGGAATTTCTGCTTCTAAAACTGAATTATCTTTCTTAACCAGGATTTGTGAAGAGAAATTGTAAACTTGTTTTAGTCGTATCTACATTTGTATCTTTGCACATATAAAAAAAGTTGTACAGAATGTGTAGCACATTATTAAAAGTAGTTATTCTGGCCTCCCTGAGTACACTATAGTCCAGATTGGCAGAAAGCGAACAGTCCCTCAAAAAGAGTCCTAAGTTGCTGTATTCAAGCTGTTTATTCCACTCGAAGGTAAAAATAAACAGACAAAACAAAGAGAATTGCACTTCTTACACATTCAAACATGAATCGTAGTACTTTGTTTTCTTTATTTCTTCAACGTAGCTAGCTCAAGGCTAATGCACAATGGAAAACATCATTGATTCGTTCACGAAGATTAGCACGCTACCTGCGCCACTCAAATCCCTCAAACAATGGGCACTCATCGACAAACGCTGCAGAAAAGCGCACAGAGAAGCATCCAAATGATACTCAGAGGCACACAGTAAACTCTTCGTCCACTGCCAAAAGTTATATCGACGAATTTCGATCGGGGTTGGGTTGGGATCGACAGCGCTGATTTCATGCAATGGAGCAAAGTGAGCTTCAGTTCACAAGGAGATTTTTGTTTTTTTTTTGTAATTCAACACTTCAAGTTAAAATGAATTTGTTAACACTTGAGTGGAAGCAATGTCCTGTTGGTTTAAAGAAAAAAAAGAAACTGTAGATTCACCATTATCAAAAGCCTACTACTTTAGCTCATGATTTATTTTCTTGGTTCAGGCTACCCGATCGAATAAGATTACTTTAATTAGTGCCACAATAGGAACATTTGCAAATGTGCAAATAATGTGCATATATTTGAGAAAATAAGACCATAGTGTTACGCTTGATGAGACAGAATGACTTCAGTGACTGCTCTACTTCCATGTATAGTCTACTTTTGCTTGCTCATTTTGCCCCAGGCTCGAAGAACTTTTGCCGGCCAGGATTGACAAGTGCAGAAAACGCGCTCATAATAAGGTCATTATCCAGCAAGAATCAGACAAGAGGAGGGCCCAAACAGAACTACCGCAGGTCCGTGGGGTCTGTAATTTTTCAGAAAGTATATGCCGCCAAGAAGAAATAATCACCGTCACCCTCAGTCGCACCCACAGAGTCTGCCACCTTTTGGCTTCCCATTGGGCACACAAGAGACTGAGGCACGGACGGCCATGTCAGCCATCATCCCACAAGGTCTTCAATGTCAGCCACTCTCAGCTTCTGC